AAAGTATCAGACTGAACTCATTCAGACTGCGAATACCATCTGCACTCCCGGTAAGGGGATCTTGGCTGCTGATGAGTCCACTGGTACCATCAAGAAGCGTTTCGATGCTGCTGGTATTGAGAACACTGAGGAGCATCGTGCTGCCTACAGGTCTCTTCTTTTTACTGCACCTGATGCTGGCAAGTACATATCTGGCTCCATTCTATTCGAGGAGACTCTTTTCCAGAAGAATGCTGAAGGTATCCCGATGGTCGACTTGCTTAAGAAGCAGGGTATTATTCCCGGCATCAAGGTCGATAAGGGACTTGTCCAGCTCGCTGGTACCGATGGTGAGACTGCCACTCAGGGACTTGATGGTCTTGCTGAGCGTTGCCAGAAGTATTACGAACAGGGTGCTCGCTTCGCCAAGTGGAGAGCTGTTCTGAAGATTGACGAAGCCAAGCAGATGCCTTCTCAGCTCTCCATCGAGGAGACTGCGCACACTCTTGCTCGTTACGCGACTATCTGCCAGGCCAACGGTCTTGTTCCTATCGTCGAGCCCGAGATATTGACGGACGGTGCTCACACCATTGAGACATCTGCTTACGTCACTGAAAGGGTTCTATCCGCTGTGTTCAAGGCTCTTAACGATCAGCATGTTCTTCTCGAGGGTTGTCTCCTCAAGCCTAACATGGTTACTGCGGGCGCCGACTGCCCTGTGCGCCCTACTGCTCAGAAGATCGCTGAATTGACTGTCCGCACTCTTGCTCGTACTGTCCCTCCGGCTCTTGCAGGAGTTGCCTTCCTTTCTGGTGGTCAGAGCGAGGAGGAGGCTTCAGTTAATCTGTCCGCTATGAACCAACTCCCCACGGATCGTCGCCCATGGGCTCTCACTTTCTCCTACGGTCGTGCTCTCCAAGCCAGTGCCATCAAGACTTGGTCTGGTAAGGAGGAGAACACCAGGGCTGCCCAGGAAGCTTTCCTCGTGCGTGCCAAGGCTAACTCTGAAGCCCAGCTCGGAAAGTATCTGGGTTCTGGTGACGAGTCTGCTAAGGAGTCCTTGTATGTGAAAAACTATGTTTACTAAGCTCCTGTTCGACGATCATTATTTCCTCCTACAGTGATGAACGATTGTAACTATACTAAGTTACTAGAGTAAGCGTGATTCGCAAAACATGTTGAGATGTGGTGTTAAGAGTGGAGTGGAGATATGTCATATAATTGCTAACTAGGCCTAGTCGGACGGACTGGCGAGCTCTGAATCGGAAATTTCGATTCGGTATCTCCGACCTAGGTTCGAGCTTCCATTCCAGGCTGTACGATGCAATACATCCGACGTTTGATGATCGCTTACCGTGTCGCTTACGCAACACGATATAGGCAACAGATATGCGTTGACCAATGGCAGCGCCATCACTTAGTTGGAGAAAGCCGCATGGAGAGTCGCGCAGGTCAACGCCGACTTGTGCATGATCTCCACCGTGATCTGAGAGGATGGGCTGAAAATAAAGTTCACAGGCGCAGGTTGGAGCAAAACTATTAACGAGGAAAGTCCGAGGAAGCATGAGGGACATTTACTGAGCGTCGCAACAGCCAATGTAAGAGCCGGGGAGCTCAGCTTGGAGCCCGCATACTCTTGCAGTCTGGAGTTTGGCGATGCCCTCGCGTGAAAAGTTCTCATCGACTTCACCAATACGCTTGTAAATACACGATCGACATATTGCATGACTGGGTGCGAATCTAGCCTGGTTAGCCTAACTACAGTGACCTACAATCTAACAGTTCCTCGCTATACCGAGAAAGTGGACCGATAACTTGGGAACTGCTTCACAAGACGTACCTTTAAAGTAGGAATCCCTAACGGCCCTTTGCCTCCTAAGTCATAAGGAGACTTCCCTTCCTTGTGAGGATCTTACGCTCTCTGAGTTGTAGGACCAGTATCTCTGAAAAATGGTCCGACGTTGGAACGCTCACCACCCGAGATGAGTATTACTGTGACGCAGACAGTCAGTCACAGCGCTCAGTTAACAACCAGGTCGCAACACCATGACATGAGGTATCAAAAGGGTCGGGCTCCTTGGGACTGGCCAAGAAGATTTGCGAAACGAAACGCGAATATGTATCGCTTCGCGCACATTATATATCGCTCGCCCCTTGCATGCACGCATTGCTCATGCATGTGCTGCCACCCGCTGAACTTCCTGCTATGATAAGTTTCCGCCAGCGACTGCTCGCAATGAGTTCCTGTCGGGGTTGACATATGGCATGTATTTGAGCCTTGATTGTCGGTGTCTATGGTCTTATTACGAGTCACCTAACAGGTCCCCGTTTTTACCCCACCATGAGGTTACCCATCGCAATTTTTGCCTACGTTGTCAGCTTAGTCCTCGGTGCCAAAGAGGAGGAGAAGGTCTCCGGCCCAGTTGTCGGTATCGATCTCGGTACCACCTACTCATGCGTCGGCATCTACAAGAACGGCCGTGTCGAGATCATCCCCAACGATCAGGGAAATCGAATTACCCCTTCTTACGTCGCCTTTACTGATGAGGAACGTCTCGTTGGAGAAGCCGCAAAGAACTACGTCGCCATTGACCCGCAAAATACCGTGTTTGATGTCAAGCGACTCATCGGTCGTCGCTATTCTGATAAGACCGTTCAACGCGATAAGAAACTGTTGCCTTTCAACATCATCGAAAAGGGCGGCAAGCCTATGATTGAGATCGCCGTCAAGGGCCAGAAGAAGGCTCTCACTCCTGAGGAGATCTCCGCCATGGTGCTGACGAAGATGAAGGAAGTTGCTGAGAATTACCTCGGTACTGAAGTGAAGAATGCAGTGATCACAGTCCCGGCCTACTTCAACGATGGTCAGCGTCAAGCTACTAAAGATGCCGGCACCATTGCTGGTCTCAATGTCATGAGAATTATCAACGAGCCCACAGCTGCTGCCATCGCATATGGGCTTGACAAGAAGTCTGAGAAGAACATCCTTGTGTATGATCTTGGCGGCGGTACCTTCGATGTCTCCCTGTTGACCATTGATAATGGTGTGTTTGAAGTCGTCGCCACTTCTGGTGATACTCACTTGGGTGGTGAGGATTTCGATCAGCGTGTCATGGACCATTTCATCAAGATCTTCCTTAAGAAGCATAAGAAGGACCTCCGCTCCGACAAACGATCTCTAGCCAAACTCCGCAGGGAAGTAGAAAAGGCGAAGAGAGCTTTGTCGTCTACTCACCAAGCTCGTATCGAGATCGAAGGCATCATGGACGGTATTGATTTCTCAGAGACCCTCTCCAGAGCGCGCTTTGAAGAACTGAACGCTGATCTGTTCAAGAATACTCTCACTCCGGTGAAGACAGTCTTGGACGATTCTGGCTTGAGCAAGAGTCAAATAGATGAGGTTGTGCTAGTCGGTGGTTCCACTCGAATTCCCAAGATTCAGTCTCTGATTAAAGACTTCTTCGGTGGAAAGGAGCCCAACCGTGGTATCAACCCTGACGAGGCCGTGGCCTATGGTGCTGCCGTGCAGGGTGGTATCTTGAAGGGTGAGGGCGGCCAAGATCTTCTATTGTTGGATGTCACTCCTCTATCCCTCGGTATCGAGACTGTCGGAGGCGTTATGACGAAGATCATCAACCGTAACACTGTCATCCCCACGAAGAAGTCCCAGGTCTTCTCGACCTATCAGGACAACCAACCCGCCGTTAACATTCGGGTCTTCGAGGGAGAGCGTCCTATGACCAAGGACAATCACGAACTGGGAAACTTCGAGCTCTCTGGCATTCCTCCTGCCCCCAGGGGTCAACCTCAGATCGAGGTCACTTTTGAGATCGATGCTAATGGCATCATGAATGTTCAAGCTGTTGATAAGGGAACCGGTAAAAAAGAGCATGTCACCATCACTAACGATAAGGGCC